CCTAAATCACTCGTACGCACAATTTAAGAACAAATCTGTGCGTACGAACGGTTCTTGCATGAGGCCCATTGGTTTTAGACTGGTCTGGTTGTCATTCAGAGGAGCTACATTTTAACTTTAATTTAATTTTTGTTTTTAACTCTTAATTGTTAAAAGAAATCAGTGTTTGTTTTTATATTTATGAAGTTCTATTCCTAAATAGGTAGGGGAAGTGAAAAAGGAAAAACCTGGGGCGCACTGGGGTGGCCAGCTTATGCTCAGGGGGGGCCATGCCCCCTCACCCCACCCCCCTTGCTGGCGCCCCTGTTTCCAACCCTGCTTAATAAATAACTATAACTGGTTCTTTTGAACAGCTCTTAGTAAAAAATGGATCTCCAAGACCTGGTCCCCCTTAAACAGTCATAGATCCTGATATCGTGAATCAACCTTTGCTCAGACTTGTTTAGTCTTTTGAAGAATAACTCATCTGTTTTTAGATCTTTAATCCCACTTTATTATGAACCTGACTTCAAATTGGTTGAAAAATGTCTTTAAATGTAAAGTACTGCCTGTGTGTGGACCATGTATTTCCTGCAGACACTAACAGCTGACATGCTGTCTGTCATGAGACTCAATGATACTTCCATTAAATGTTTGACAGTTGTCAGGCAGCTCTATGRCACTTCCATCAGCATGTTTGAAGAGTTACAGAGTAAACGTGTTTTTCTCAAACATCAGGTTCAGGAGGGTCACTAACCTTCCTGTTACTCATTAAACTCCACAAAGTTAAAACTAACCCACACTGCCTCTCGTGTTTGTTCACCTTGAACACTGAAGAATAAAAATATATTTATATAATGACTTAACGTCCTGAGATGATGGGTGGATGAAAAGTTATGTTTATCAGCTAAAGAACACACGTGATAAATCTGCTGTGGTTTGACTTACCGAGCACCATCCCCGGGTTTCTGTCCGACATGTTGTATTTATTTAACATCAACCTGCACTCCAGCAGCTACAATGTCTTTCTTTTAACACACAACTGCCAGCAGTGCTGCGCGCTCTGTTTCTGCCGCGTCTTCTTCTTCTTCGGTTTAATTCGGTAGGAAAACCAACTAAAGGGCGCTTTAGCGCCACCTACTGGAGAGAAAAACAAACAGGAGAACTAAAACAGGCTTTCGAACAAATATAAATATAATAAATATTATAA